TGCTTGCTGGGCGCGGGCGAGGCCTGGGGCCCCGGGTCCTCCGGGGAGCCCAGCGAGCGCGCCCACAGCTCCTCGCTGCGCTGCAGGTACTGGAGCTGGGCCCGGCGCAGCGCCTGCACAGCCTCGTTCTGCGGGGAGGGCGGTGGAGGTCAGCGCCCCCCCCCCCGCGGACACCCCGCGGCCCAGGCTTCAGCCCCCCCGGCCCCACCGCCGCCCTGGGCCTCACCATCCGCTTCTGCTCCCTCAGCCACTGCTCCTTGAACTCCTTCCGCCATTTCTCAATCTCTGTGCGTTTGGCGGCCAGGGGCTGGGAGGGAGGGAGGAGGGGACCAGGTGGTCAGGACGCCTCAGGTCCACCCCATCCGTCTGATCCCCTCCTGGTGCCCATGTGCCTTTCCCCTGCTAGACCCTGTTCTCTTTTTTCAGTGCCGGGAATTGAATCCCGGGCCTTGGTATATGCGTACATGGGGTTTGAACTCAGGGCCTGGGGCACTAAGGCTGGTGCTCTGCTAGTTGAGCCACCACTCCATTTCTGGCTTTTCTGGGGCTTCACTGGAAATAAGTCTCATGGAGTCAGGTGCAGGTGGCTCACGCCTGTCATCCTAGCTACTCAGGAGGCTGAGATCTGAGGATCGAAGTTCAAAGCCAGCCCAGGCAGGAAAGGCCATGGACACTCTTCTCCAATTAACCACCAGAAAACGGAAGTGGTGTTGTGGCTCAAATGGTAGAGAACTAGACTTCAGCTGAAGAGCTGAGGGACAGCACCCAGGCCCACAGTTCAAGTCCCACAACCAAAAACAAACAAACAAACAGTCTCATGAACATTCCCATCCAGGCTGGCTTTGAACCTCAATTCTCAGACCTCAGCCTCCTAAGTAGCTAGGATGACAGGCGTGAGCCACTGGTGCCTGTCTCCCCGCACACCAACATCCAGGCGCAGAACTGAGCCTCAGTGATCACTCAGATGCCCCCATGGTTTTCTTCCTGAGGACACTGCAATCTCACGGCTCCTCACACACAAACTGCACTGTTTTGCAATTGCACAGGAAGCCTGGGTTGAATCTCAGCCTGGTAACCTTGGGCAAGTTCCCAAGCATCTCTGCTTCAGCTTCCGCATCAGAGAAAGGTAGATGGGGAAGCAGTGACTTCCGGCTCCGTTATAAGAAGCAAAGGGATTGGTCCTCTAGTGACCCTCGTGCCCTGCCCCCTCACCTGGTAGTAATCTCTTTTCTGCTGGGCCAGGGTCTCCAGGGCCAGGGCTCCCAGGTTGAGGTCATGTTCCAGAAACAGGGTGTATATGTACTGCAGCGGCATGTGGCTCTGGCAGATGGAGAATGAGATACTCTGAAGATGGGGAGGGGGGCGGGGCTGGGGACTGGGGGGCTGGGGCCTGGGGGGGTCTGGTTACTGCTACCTGCTGGCGGATGGATACTTTGCCAGCTTCCCCGATCTTCATGATGCTTTTGGCAAACTCCAGTTCTGGAGAAGGAGACAATGGGAGTCTAGGCCCAGTGGGGTTTGGGTGAGTGCGGTGCGGGGGGCAGAGCGGGAGGAGCGCTCACCGTAGCTGGCTCTCTTCTCGGTCCAGGCCAGCAGCTCCTTGGCGTAGCGGCTCCAGGTCTTGGCATAGTCCAGGGCGGCATCAACACCCCCCTTGGTCCGGATGAGTCTCAGGTCCAGTTCCTCTCCTGGGAGGATCAGGGGCACCTCTGAACTCTGAGCTCTCGACCTGTCCAGGAGCCCCTGCTGTGACCCCCATGGCTCCAGGAAGCACCCGTCAGTAACACTGTCCACGGCTGCGCTACACAGCCTACCCGCTGCGCCCTGTCATGTTCCCTGGCTCTGTACAGTGCCTGGCACAGGACTTCCCCTCCCCCATCCTCCCCTCAAAACTCCCCTACCAGCTGGGCATCCTAGCTACTCAGGAGGCTGAGATCTGAGGATCACGGTTCAAAGCTGGCCCAAGGAAGAAACTCCATGAGATTTACCTCCAGTGAACCACCAGAAGATCGGAAGTGGTGCTGTGGCTCCAGTGGCGCTGAAGAGCTGAGAGGTAGCGCCCAGGCCCAGAGTTCAAGACCCACAACCAACCAAAAAACAAAACAAAAACCCTACCTGTGAGGGGTACAGGACTGTCCCAGGAGGAGCCGCTCTTACAGCTGGATTCACTGGTCTGGGGGCAGGGGAGAAACCGCATTCAGGAACAAGCAGGCCAGGGCTCCCCTTCCCCGGGGGTCCCTCCTCCCTATCCCCCCCACCCAACCCACCTCAGCGGCCGTGGCAATCTTGGCAGGCTCCAAGTTTTCCGGGAGGACAGCATCTCCACCCAGCATGTCAAAGGTTCTGGGGACAAAGGTGTCAGACTGGTCACCTCTGACCAATGTGCCCTATTAGGGGGAGAGAGGCTCTGGGGACCCCAGCATAGTTCAGGGGACAGTGTTGGATGTCACCTCTGGGCATCTCTTGTGTGTGGAACACCTGAGGATTCGGTGCACGGGGCGGCGGGAGCTGGATTTTGAAGGGAGGGACAGGTGGAGTGAATACAGAGCCCTAAACGCGTGAGGCAAATGCTCTACCACTCAGCTACACTTCCACACAGGTGAGCGTGCTTTGTGTGTGTGTGCACCTGCACGTGCAGGTCCTACGGCTTGAATTCAAGGCCTGGGTGCTGTCCTTGAGCTTTTCCCTCAAAGCTGACACTCTACCAGTTGAGCCATGGCTGTACAGCTGGTTTTTTTTTTGGTGGTTTACTGGAGATAAGAGTCTCAGGGACAGCTGGGCGCCAGTGGCCCACGCCTGTCATCCTAGCTACTCAGGAGGCTGAGATCTGAAGATCATGGTTCAAAGCCAACCTGGGCAGGAAAAGTCCATGAGACTCTTATCTCCAATAAACCACCAGAAAACCAGAAGTGGTGCTGTGGCTCAAGTGGTAGAGTGCTCGCCTCATTGAGTTGAAGAGCTGAGGGACAGCGCTCAGGCCCAGAGTTCAAGACCCATGACAGACCAAAAAAAAAAAAAGATTCTCAGGGCCTTTCCCGCCTGGGCTGGCTTCAACCCTCGATCCTCTGTTCTCAGCCTCCTGAGCAGGTGGGATGACAGGCATAAGCCTTGAGCAACCTTCCAGGTGAGGTTTCCTAATAGAACCTGGTAAAAAGGTTTGAGGGAGACTAGATAACTTTGGCGTTCGTGGAGTAAGGACGGCAGCCATTTAAAGGGTCACAAGCAGGCTTGGTGGGGTCTTCTCCCTGTACCCCCAAGCACCTGGCAGCCCCGGCCCTGGTGCAGTCCCAGCTCAGACCGCTCAGGGTGTCAGGGAAGGTGCCGGGGCGTTGCAGGGGCTTCAGGGCACCCACACGGCTTGGGATTTAGGTCTGCTGGACCCCAGCTCAGACTCACACGTTCCCCAGGGAGATCTCGAGGTTGTCCAGGCTCCGGAAGATGTCACTGTACCTCTTTCTGCTCTCAGGAGCTGGTGGGGAGGGGGAGTGTGACACGAGGCCAACCCCCGCCTCCGCGCAGCCCGCGCAGTGGGCCCCCCACCAGTCTGGGGGGATGCAGTGGGCGCCCCATCAGTCTGGGGGGTGCAGTGGGCGCCCCATCAGTCTGGGGGGTGCAGTGGGCGCCCCATCAGTCTGGGGGGTGCAGTGGGCGCCCCATCAGTCTGGGGGGGTGCAGTGGGCGCCCCATCAGTCTGGGGGGGGTGCCCGGCGTGGGGAGGGAGGAATGGAGGACGATGCAGATGGACCAGACGCAGCCAGGCGGGACAGCTGGGCAGAGCGGGGCCGGCCCGGACAGACGCCGGGACAGACGCCCTGGATCCGGCCCCGGGCCGTCCAGGAGGCGGGGAGGGGGGCTGGACAATGGAGCTCCACAGCTCCCCGGGGCCAGGCAGATGGGAGCACACGTGGCGCACGCGGGCCGGAGCCGCGGGCGTCCGCACACGCACACGCACACGCCCGCCAGCCCGGGACCGCCGGGGACCCGCGGGCGGCGGGGCGCGCAGGCCCCGGACACGCACCGCGGCCGGGGACCCGGATGGGAGGTGTCCCCCCCCCCCGCGGGCGGCGGGCGGCCCTGCGGGGACCCGCCCCCGGCTCCCCCGCGGCACCCTCCCCCATCCCGTCAGAAGCAGAAGCAGCCACTTCCCCTTCCTGGGCCCGGGCCGGCGTCCGGGCGCGGGCTCGCCGGCGCCCGGGGAGGGCGGGGTGTCGGCGCGGCCCCGGCTGGGGGGCCCCGCGCCGATGGAGGCCCGCGTCCTTCCCATCGAGGCGCCGAGTCCCCTCCGGCTCTCCGGGGAGTGACAGGCGGGGCTTCCCGGGCTAGGAAGTGAGGGGCAGCCGCCGCGGGCCATCCGGCTCCCCGGCCCCCGGCCTCCTACCTGGCTCGGCCGCGTCCATGGCTGGGTTCGGGGGTCTCTGGGCGGACGGGTCGCGGGGGAGGCCGCACGCCCACGGGGACCAGCCCCGGCTTCCTGCCGCCTCCGCCGCCGCCTCCGCCGCCGTCCCCGCCCGGTCCCAGGCCGCCCCGCCCCGCCCAGGCCACGCCCACGAGACGCCACGCCCACCACGGCCAGGAAGCGCGAGTGCCTGAGGAGGCCACGCCCCTGACACGCCCCAGTCCGGAAAGCTGAGTGCCTGCGGGAGGCCACGCCCCACTACGCCCCCAGACGAGGCGCGAGTGCAGAGGCCACGCCCCCAGCAGGAAGAGAGCGTGCCGCCGGCGCAGCCCTGCAGCCTGGGGCTGGGGAGGCCCAGCGCCTGGGGCTGGCCCCGCAGGTCCTGAACCCGACCTCGCCTGACCTGACCCCTCACAGCCCCAGTGGCTGGGGCCGGTCCCGACCCGCGGTCACCCGCAATGACCATCAGAGCTGCTCCAGGCCCCGGATGGAGGCTGCTTTAGACCTGGACAACAGGCCTGAGTGCTTCCAGGGCTCATCTCGGCCCCAGGGCCCTGCGTCCAGAGCCCAGATGGTAGCTCAGGTCACTGCTGGCCCCAGACCCTTGGGGCCCCACCTCCCTCCCGGCGCCCTGGTCCTCGTGCTGCTGGCTGCCCGGCTGGTGGCGGGCTGTGCCCGGGGCAGGTGTGAACCGGATCTGACCAATGTCCCCACCGCCCATTGCAATTCCGTCCTGTCCTCCTAAGGGCTGACCACCATCGCTCACACGGCACCAGGCGCCTGGACCCCGGGCCAGCAGAGGCCTTGGCCAGGGCCACCCCCGCCCCGAGGCTGGCACTGAGCCCTGGGAGCCAGTGGGGAAGGTGTGCTGGCAGCTCCCACACCACAGGAAGGGACAGCACCGATGCCGAACCTCCCAGGCCCACATCCTCACCTTGGGAAACAAAGTGGGGAAATGCGGGGTGCAAGCTACATAGAGAACCGACTGGAAGCTCCAGGGGTCCGGGCCGCTGCAGGGGAACCTGCTGGGTCCTCTCCCCTGGCGTGGGGACCCCGAGAGACAAACAAGATGGAGGCAGGGTGCCTTAAAATCTCCGATACTGCTTTATTCACCACAGGGGCTGGCTGGGCTGCAGGCCCGCAGTGCCAGCTCTGTCTTCCGAGGAGGCGGCCGGGCAGCCCCCCTGTGGGGAGTGGGGTGAGTGTTTTCTCCGGGGCAGCCGCAGGCAGCGGCAGCGCTATCTTAGGAAGGCACTTTCAGCTTCGGGGCTCCCAGGAAGAACTGCAGCACGCGGTCGGCCAGCAGCGCCAGGCAGAAGTCCAGGACCAGGACCTGCGCGATGACCAGCTTGAACTGCAGCGGAAGGGCACCCGAGTGAGCGGCGGGAGGCGGGGCGCGGGGCGCGGGCTGCCCGCCACCCGGCCCTCACCTCCACGGGGATGTCCACGAGGCCGAACTGGCTGTTGAAGTCTGGTGAGGAGCCGAGCAGCAGCCCCACGATGGCCACGAGCGACACGGCCAGGCTCCACGCCAGGGGCTTGTTCTCGGGCAGGCTCTCCATGAAGGGCGGGCCCTGTGACCCAAGGGGTGCACGGCTGCCTGAGGGGGACCGAGCGGGCGGGCTGGGGGGCAGGGACAGGGGCGGGCCCTCACCTTGTAATTGATGGCGAACGTGGCCATTTGCATGGCCATGGCCATGATGTACACGGTGCTGTTGACCAGGCTCGGCTCGAACTCCTTGTACAGGTCTACGAACCTCTCCTGTCTGGGGGGACACGTGCGGTGGGCGGGGCTGTCGAGGGGGGGGGCTGCCCGGGACAGGAGAAGGCACTTGCCTGTCGGGGCTGCGCGCCTGGGCCTCGCGGTACAGGTAGACCAGGCTGAGGAAGTGCACGAGGAACTGCAGCAGCACCGTGAGCACGGTGTACAGGTTGAAGATGTTGGGCAGGGGCCGCTCCCGGGACAGGGTTTTCAGGGGCTGCAGGCACAGGTGGAGGTCAGGGCAGGGTGGCCCTGGGGCTCCCCATCCACTGCAGATCACAGCCGGCAGGTGGCAGGGCAGGCGTGGGGCCTGCACCCACCTCTGGCGCACAGGGCTCGGAGGGGTGTCTGCCCTCCGCGCGGTCCCTCGAGGGGCTGCAGCGGGGAGCCCCTTGGGCTCAATGGCACAATGTGTGCCCAGATGAAGGCAGTGGCGGCAGGGCAGCCCCCGGGCACGCTGCTGATTCTGTATCACCACAGCCCAGAAGTGTGGAGCCTGGCCCCTGTCCCCCGTCCCCCCAACACAGCCCGGGCCCTGGGGGCCCCACGGTGATCCCAAGGTGCCAGCTCAGACCTTGGAGCGGGAGATGAAGAGGAAGCAGCCGGCCAGCAGCAGCCCCTGCAGGGTGGCCTGGAAGTCGCTGAACTTGACGCCCTCCAGGTACAGCACGCTCTGGCTGTAGGCCAGGATCAGGGCATTGAGCGCCAGGATCTTGAACATCTGCAGCGTGGTCACCAGTGTGCAGCGGCCCTGCTTGATCACGTGGCAGACTGGGGGGAGGGAGAGGTGGGCATGGGTGCGTGCAGGGGGCAGGGAGCGGGGCGGGGGCGGGGGCGGGGCAGCACTCACTGCACTGGATGGAGGAAAGTTTGGAGGTGAAGGGGGCGGCGATGCTGGCGTCCCCCAGCTTCACGATGGGCGTGCTTTCCTCCTCGAGGTCCCGCAGCACCTGGCTCAGGCGGTCCTGCAGGGAGGGCAGGGTCAGCCCACGTCCTTGCTCCCGACACCTCCCCCCAGGACTCACCCCCACGAGCACTCACCCCCCTGGGAGCACTCACCCCCCTGGGAGCACTCACCCCCCTGCGAGCACTCACCCCCTGTGAGCGCTCACTCCATGAGCACTCACCCCGTGAGCACTCACCCCCGTGAGCACTCACCCCCCCGTGAGCACTCACCACCCCCCGTGAGCACTCACCCCCCGTGAGCACTCACCCGGCGAGCACTCACCCTCTGCGAGGCGGGTGCGGGCTCCTCTGCGGGTGCGGGCCGCGTCTTTGCACTCCTGGAGCCGGCCCTGCCACTGCCCAGGCTGGGGCTCTCGCGGGGCCGTCGCCGCCGCTCTACAACCCGCTCCGGGGCGTTGGCCAGGAGTGCCACACCTGGGGTGCCGGGTGCGGGGTGAGGGGGGCTGCCCACCGATCCCCAGCTCCCCCTCCCCTGCTACCAACTCCTGAAGAACAAACCCCGCAAACGAGCCAGCGGCGGATGCCATGGGCGTGCGGCTGCAGCCCTGGTGGCCGGCATGCCCCGCGCCCGCCCCGGGGGAGGCCAGGAGAGCGGGTCCTGGCGGGAGATGTGGACAAGCCCCGCGCCGGCCCTTCAGCGGCCCCCACGGGGCTCACCCACGTCGGCGTGCTTGAGGGCGCCCACGTCGTTGGTGCCGTCCCCGCACATGAGCGTCACGAAGCCCAGCTCCTTCAGGCTGGTGATGACGAACTCCTGGGTGGTGGAGGGAGAGGGGCCGCGTGAGGCCCTGCCTGTGTCGCCCCAGCCCCGGCCCCGGGCCCCGCACGCACCTTCTGCTTGGGCGCCACGCGCGCGAACACCTGCACGTGGGGGATGAGGCGCAGCAGCTGCTGCGGGTCTGCGGCCTGCAGGTGCGCCAGGCCGTCGCCCGTGAGGCACAGCGCGTGCTCTGCGGCCAGCGCCCGCGGGGAGCCGGGCAGCAGGGGCAGCACGATGCTGCCGTCAATGGAGCGCCACTCGCACGCTCGGCCTGCGGGGGGAGGGCCACACCGGGGTGAGGGGCGCCCCTGCAACCACACCAGCCTGACCCCGAGCCCTGGCAGCCTGGCGTCTGTGTGTCCGTCCCACTCCCGCCAGAAGCGAGGCGCCGCCCACCCCACGGCCTGCTCCGGCGCTGGGTAGGGAGCACAGCTCCGAGCACCAGGCCTCGGGTTCCTGGGCCTGGGGAGGGGGTGCTGGGGAGGGGGACTCGGCCCTCAGAGCCGCTGCAGCACAGGCCGGCCAGGCCTCACCCTTGTCGGCGGGCGGCTGCAGGATGAGCGTGTGTGCCTTCTCGATGAAGTGCAGCTCCTGGGCCACGTGGCAGGCGGTGAGGGGGTTGTCGCCCGTGATCATGACCACCTGTGGGGCAGAGGCACAGCTGGGCAAGGTGGGGGACACGCAGGGGTGGAGCCGCCGGGTCCTTCCCACAAGCCCCCTGGACCGCGTAGATGCTAAGCGTGCTTGGGGTATAACACCAGCTCCTCTGGCTGTGCCCAGAACGTTCTGGAGACAAGGAGGAGACTGTGCTGTGCCTTCGATTCTAGTATGAGCCAGTCACTTCCCCCATGTCCTAAATACCCCCTGCACCTGGTTAACTAGAACGCTGGCCGCCAGGCGGACAGACAGACTCAGCTCTGGGCCTGGCCAGCCTGGGCCGTACCCGGTGGGACGCGTTCTGGATCTCTCGGATCACCGCCTTGGAGTCGGCCTTGAGCGGGCAGGAGACCACGATGAAGCCCACGAACTTGAGGTTGCACTCCAGCGCCTCCCGCTTCACCTCGCGGGCCTGTGGACACAGGGGCTCACCATCCCTTCTGGGCCCTGCTTGGCGCAAGGGGTGCGTGCGTGCGTGCGCGTGGATCCCGCTCTGTCTCGTGTGCGAGGTGTACGGGCCTGTGGCTCCACGTCGGGGTCCGGAGGCCTGGGCCAGGGGTGCCCGGCAGGCCTTACCTGTTGGTGGGTGAGGTGCCCCAGCTCCTTGTAGCCCAGCGCCAGGACGCGGGCTCCTTCCCGTGAGATCTCGGTGTGTATGACGTGGTAGTCGGGTGGGCACTGGGAGAACTGCAGAGGAGGGGAGACATCAGCCGCGGCCTGACCCACCCCCCCACGCCCGGGCCGGCGGGGTGGGCTCACCATGGGGTGCAGGGTTTCGGGGGCCCCCTTCACGGCTGCAATGTAGCAGAGGTCGGTGGAGCCCAGCTTCTCGTAGGAGGCGAGCACGGACATTCGCTTTAGGGCACTGGCAAAATGAAAGCGCTGGTGAATTTTCAGCCCCTGAGTTTTAATACTTCGGGGGAATACTTTCTCATCTGGAAACAGACAAGTG